TTCCCCGCGCATGGCGACCCTGCTCGGAGGTGGCGGCTGGCGGCGATGCTCCTAGTTCGTCAACGGGTCTGCCGGCGGCGCGCTGTCTTGGGTTGTGCAGCACTGGGTGGTAAGGTGGCAATGGCGCGACTGATTGGCTGCCTATTTCGGAGGAAAAAAGACAATTGCTAGACCAGATAAGAATTTACTTACTGCTCACTCTCTTCCTCGAGTACTCCTCTTCTTCTCTCGTCTCGCTGCAATCAGTGAAGCTCGCTCGCCGCTGTGCCACCCGATGGCTCGACCCCCTTCGTCACAAAACCCTATACATGAAATGATATTGAGAGTACACCAAACTACACAGCAGAATTCCAAACTGAAGCTTTATATCTAGCATATCATATATATTCCATATTTCAAAATGCAGGAATAGACTGCAACTCTGCAGCACACAACACCATGTATTTGCTCTGTTATGCTACATTGCCATTTACTCTTTACATGGCCTTCTGTTCAGCAATAACTAAACCGTGCCCTAAAGAACTGGATTCCTTTTAATTCACAACATGGCAATCCCATGTAATGCTTGCATTACTGAGATAAGAAAGCAAGCAATCGACCCCCTTAATTAATTAGTAGGACCTTGATCCGGCGCTTAGAAGCTTGCATACTACGATAAAAATAAAGTCAGCGAGCATGTTGTATTCACAAGAAGCAAGCAAACAACTAGCTTATGATTAATTATTAGGACATCCATCGCTAATAATGGTTCACAGTACAAACAACTCTTGAACCATTTGTTATTAATTGGAGGAACCTGGTTCAATGATCAACCTTGTAAAACCTGACATACTGTTACTGTGTTACATATAGGAAAACCATGGGAAACAACATAATCGAAAATATTCATAGATGAGGCCCAATATAGAAAACCAAAGGTGACAAAAAATATGGCAATGAAAAATGCTCTCTAAACTGAACTAAATAACCCCACCTATTCTGATCCATGAACATTTTGCCAAAGAACCAATTCATGCTATAATAGTATGCACCTACAAATTGCTTCTTCCTCTTCCTCTATCACCTGGAGGAAGTAGATAGTGATACTTATAAAAAATTATCATAATATATCAAGAAATAAACATGAATAAATATACGTAAACAGAAGGTATGTTAACACAATCATAAAATGATAGGTATGGTTCTTCATTTATTTTCTATCTACTTTGCTCCTTGTGTCTTCTTCCACTATTGCCTCACCCCCATCCGTCGTTGTTCTGTCATCATGTTCCTCAGTAGCGAGGGAACAAAACACAAACAAGTAATCTGAGAAGAGTATTTTTTAGGGAGGCATGCGGGCATTGACATATTAGGGAAAACATCAATGTCTAAACATTCCTATCAAGATTTCTAGCTTTACTCTTACAATGTTGGAAGTGGGTGTTGAATGAAAAATATATACTGTCTCATAAACTCCTTCATGTTTTGTTCAAGGATTTACCTTCATCAGCTATTGAATTCAGATTCAAACCAGCCTACCCAAAGCCACCAACACATAAATCAGGCAACATAGCCTAAATCAATATGTTCAACTCGGGGTGGTGATTCAAACTGCATGTACTCATTCAGGGCGGTCCGATTCCAAGTTTCTAACAACCAAAAAATCATTAACGTGCAACTATATATCACAACAACCTACAAATGTTCAAATTTCATACTAATCGAGTTCCATGCAGACCTTGTCATGCTGCAAGCAACGCAATAAATTTGAAATTAATCTGATTGGAGTTCCACAAATCTCAGCCACGCACAACCAAAACTAAGAAGCAATGAAAGCTCACCGGGGAAAGGATTGAGGAAGAGATCGCACCCGAGCCCGCGGCACGAAGCTGCCCTGGCCGGCAGGCGCCGGTCCTTCCGCCTCCCCATCATGCACAACCATCTAAGCACGCTGCACAGAGTATCGGGTCCGGGGCCTCCGCGTCTCCTCCCAGCTCCAACAGCACGCCGCTAGCATCTCCCCGCCCGTAGCAGCTCCGACGGCGTCCGTTCCTGTCGGGGACCTCCACACCAGCGCCCAGTTCGAGCAGCAAACGCACAGCCACCACACGGGCGTCCCCGCCACGACGCACGCAACAACGTCGACGGTGCACTTCTTGTCGCCTATATCCTCCTAACCAGGCGAGTGCACACATGCACCCCTCGGACCACCCTACCACGAACTGGATCGTCGTGCGCCCGAAACTCCCGCCCACCCTCCACATCAGACTTCTTGGCGTGAAAGCTCTGCATTCGTGAATATATCCGTGCCCACAATATGTTTGTGGGACAGAATCGGATTCTCCAAATCAGTGGATCGAGCACCAGACCCGGCAGCTGAAAAAATTCATTGGCATCAGTGGATCATTGTGTTTGCCCGCCAAATTGCCGATGCTGCGGCGGCGCACGCTTCCCTAGTCCGCCCAAATCATGGACGCCGTGCACGGCGCTCTTCCGCTCGCGACGTCCACTGCACCGCCTCCGGTCCCGCGGGTGTGCTCACGCCGCTGATGCCCGTTGGTCATCGCTGCTTGTCGCTGCTCGCCGCGCAGCCAGGGAATCGCACCACCACCGTGAAGGATTCAAACCATTCCAATACTACAATATGAGCGATCTGGGAGGAGTACGTACAGGAAAGTTGCCCTTCCCGTTCCAGGATTACAAGGAGCGATTTCTGGTTCGGGCAGGTACAGGGAGAAAATATGATTTCACCTATCAGAAGATTGATGAGTATGGGGTTTGCATCTACTTTTGTCAGGCGTTGGTGCATCAAGGAAAGAAAAAGATTGTGTTCCAATTTTTGCAGGAAAGATGTGCCGTGAATTAACTCAAACTATGGTAAATGGGGATTGCATGCCGATTTTACCTGTCTTCTAAGGAAAGAGGAGGGACAACCGAAGTAAGGAATAAAATCGTTGGGGGTTGACCTGATCGATCGATGAGAGGGGCTGCGAACGAACGAACGACTTACGGACTGCTCCAATAGAAGTAGAGATTCCTCACAGACAGCTGACTAGACACCCTTGTACATGCACTAAGAGAGGTCGACCCTTCGTATTCCTGAACGGCCGAGATTATATAATGGTTATTAAACACGTTTTTGTACAGTGGCGTATATTATTTTCAGTCGATAACTGTGGATTGTCTGACCTTGTGACCGAGCGAGGAAACAGTAGTCAGTACTGCTCACCAGACGACACTGAATCGCCAACAACTGCGTTCATCATGTCGCCGGCGACTTCTTCCGCGGTGGGTACCCTATCCGGCGGTCTCCTTCCCCACGATGCACATCGCCGGCGACCCTTCCTAACCGCCCGCCTTCTCCCGCCGCGTTGGTCTAGGCTCCAGGTCAACGCGGCCCGTCATCGCCGCCCGGCCACTCCCGCGCGCGCCCAGAGCGCTCCCTCCCCAGGTCCGGGACTCCTCTACCCCCTCGCCGGGACGCGATGTTTACGCCTCCGTTCGGGTCCTTGATCGAGCTCATTTTTTTTTCATCCATCGCCTTTTCAGGGTACCTGCCGGACTCGGAGTTCTACAAGATCGAGGCCATCCTGAGGTCAGTGCGTCAGCATACCAGTGAGCTTCGGGGCCTTCCTGGTTTGTTTGTAGATTTGACTTACCCATGGTGAATCGTGCCGAATTGGTGCAGGCCATGGAGGGTGTCGCACGTCTCGTCGGTGAGTGCGGCTACTGTTGCAAGCCGTCTGTCAAGTTCTTTCACGTACGCGAGGTGTTCGTTCAAATAGCTCCACGGAAATTCTGCAGGGTTTGCTAGAAATGGGGATCAGAGGCGTGACGGTGTCTGATGTGCGGGGTTATGGGGCGCAGGGCGGGTCGACGGAGCGGTACGAAGGTATTGGCCCGGCTCGTGGTTGTGGCGCCTAAATTGCTGAACTCTATTTCAGTGTTTGTGATTCGTCGTGTATAGTTTCTGCTTCCATCAGTTGTGATCCTTGTGTTTATGTGTTCCCTAGAGCTAACGTTGCATTGTATTGTGAAAGGAATGGGTCAGTGATTGTCGTTAGAAATGGTTTTCATTAACGATTAACAAATCATTACCACACCCCCTTGAACGTGGTCATGTTAGTTCCCTCCAGTCCCCCATTTGGTAAAAAAGGCTGTAATTTGCTTTGCCTGATTTTGTTGATTGTATTGTTCTGTGCTGGGATATCCTTTGTGGTTTGTATGTTTCTGTTTTAAAGAAGCTGCAGATATTCAGGGACTGGAAGCAACCCTTGATTATTACAAATGTTGCACTTGAGATTACATTTTAATTTCTTTTGATGTAGTATATTGGCTTGAAATATCTGTAACACAGTTCCTACTTCACATTATTGCACCATTTTCTCTATTTTCTGTATCAAACATTCGAGCATCTTGATGGTTGGTTATGAGTACAAGCCAATTGCAACAACTAGAATGAGTTTGAATCACACCCAAGTTGATAGCAGTAGAAACCAGGTGAGGCTTTGAGAAGTTATATTGATGTTTCTCATTAGTACCTTCCTCTCTTACATTTCCGTTCTTGTTTTATTTAGGTCCTCGAGGAATGTTAACAACTAAAGATTGAACACAGTCTTATACTCTGTATATGCTTAAGTGATATTAGTACACTGAGCAACTCATATGAAATTAGGTTCTGTATATGTAGAAACATATATTGGACTGATTATTAGTTCAAGTCAACTATCTCACAAAATATGGATTTATTCTACTGCTGTTTATGTCATGTTTCTTGGGAAAGTGGATACCCATGAGCAAAATATGACCTGAAAAGATAATGGGCAAGCAGGAGAAAGTATTGCAACAACTTCAGGAGGAAATGGCTGGGAATTAGAGAAACATCGGGATAAAGACATGGATTCTTCTGAGTAATTTTGGCATTCATATCAGTATTGTCATTTTACATGCCTAATTGATCATGTATATTAATCCTTAGTGCTATTCAGTAACTACTTTACCTTATGCAGTTCTAAGTTCTTATGCTGATGCTTGCTCATTGTTGGTTTGCAGGGTCAGAATTTTCAGAAGATACATTTATTGCTAAAGTTAAAATGGAAATAGTTGTGTGCAAGGAGCAGGTAATAGCTTGTTTTTTTATTAATCCTGAAAAAGAAAGTACACATCTTTAATACCCTCTGGTTGAGATAGCTGATCATAGCATCGAAATGATATAATTTTCTCTGTGATACAAATAGTTACCTTCTCTATGATACAATTTGCTTTGCTGTTCACTTATACATAGAGTATTGTTAAAATATTTGTGCTGTCCATTCTGTGTATCTCTTTGAAGGTTTTGTTTTGCATTATGTTAATGTATTTTTGCACTGTCCAGGTTGAGCCAGTAATTGACAAAATAATTGAGAAGGCCAGAACTGGAGAAATTGGCGATGGAAAGATATTCTGTAAGTGCAAAGTTTTCTTGGCAACTGTTAGAAGTCTGCAATCACGCTGTCGGGTTTAATCTTATTTCCGTACAGTCGTTACTGTCATTTAGTATTTGCCATTCTGAAATGTATATCTGCAGGAAGCTAACCGCAATACCGAACTACTCCCTCCGTAACATAATATAAAACGTTTTTTGACATTCTCGTTATGTCAAAAATACGTCTTATATTAAGCTACAGAGGGAGTATTAGTGGACACTAAACAGAGTATCGCAACAACATACACGCCCTCCAGAAGTGTGTGTTTTAGTCCTGAAGTGCTGTTTCACGTGCATAGTATCCCAATGCTTTCCCACAGCTGATTTGTGTTTTTAGAAACCTAGGAATCATGATCTCTAGTACCTTAGACACACCTCATCATGATCCCTATGCTTAGGCCTCATCTGTTTTTTCTGCCCTTTTTCCCAGTGATACCCGTCGCGGACGTTGTAAGGGTACGCACGGGCGAACGTGGAGTGCATGCGGAGAGGATGATCGGCGGTCTGTCAGACAAGCTGCCCCCGGTGATCACAATATCATGAGTAGAACTCGACTGCTCTTGCTGCCTGTATCTGCAAGCGCATCCCTCAGGTTGGTTGCTTGTGGCCGTGTGTGTGGCTTGACCTTTGGGGAATAATAATGTGCATGTAACATTGTGTGTTCTGTGTTGGCACGAATAAATCGGCACCAGCATCCATACGGTCGGTGGTGTTGTTGAATGTGGTGGTTACTGTGGTTCGTGTGCCCAATGTGGTGACGCAAACTCCCTCTTAGTGAGAAGGTGAAAATCTGGATGTAATTTGTGCCAGTTCATCTAAGTTTCATTTCCTTTCTGGGCATGGCTAGGTATCAATCGACCGAGACTTGACTAAGTCCCAAGCGACATAACATGGAAAAGAAAATTTTGCACGGATAAAATCACACAGATATAACATGGACTAGGACATACCAAGTCCGATTTAGCAAGTTATTTCCTTTTAACTCATGGGAGCGAATTGTCAAAAAAAAAAAAACCCCTTACGGGAGCGATTGACATGGCGGGCCGCGGCCATCAGACACGTGGAACCGTCGAGGGTAGACTTCCAGTTGTGTGTGCGTCGTGTCATACATGAGTCGGCCGAAGCTAGAGGTTGGTAGGAGCACACCGGACGCGGCAACGTCGCCCGTGAACGCCTCCACGTACGTCGTGGCATGGCCACCTTTGCATTTGGCACAGAAAACACACGCGTTTGGCGCAAAGGTGGCCAAGCGAGGTAGTGTCGTACACGATGATAAGCGAAATACTGATTTTCGAGGCAGGAAAATAATGATCCACGTCATATCTACATCAAACAACCTTGCCGCGGAGCAGAGCACAGAGTTGACGTGCCTGAACCTGAGCACGAGGTCAATCAATCAAGCATGGATGATGGACGATGCAGACCCATCACCCATGCATGAGTGGCTCTGCGCCGATCCACGCGGAGACTCCCTGCACGTGTCAACCCGAAAAAGCTGCATCGCATTGCAGTCAAGCAAGCAAGCAAGCAGTTCAGAAACATGAATGCAACACGTTAATTCTCAAGCGTGCAATCTTCGTTGAACTTGGGATCTCCTTTTCCTCACGAGTCAATGAAAGCCCAGCCGTCCGATCGGTGGATCCATCGCCATCTCGACGGAGCCGAGGGGATAAGGCAGGCGGGCGAGATCCTATACGCGTCAACCCGATTCGTCAGTGATGAGTAGTGGTTAAACTAATCGGGATCTCAGTTTAACCGGATCTCATGTAAAGCAGCAGTGCGAGCCTAGGGTTGGCTCTCTACTAATTGATTCTCTAGTATGTGCATATCGATCATCGTAGGATCTTTGCTAATTGCTAATGACGAGAACACGCGTTGAGCGTCACATTGTTTTTAAAATAAAGTACTAGTGCCTTTTTTAACCTTTCTATCTGCCACTGTGGATTGACTTTTGACAGTTGACACTGGAGAGATGGCCAACGATAATTTCGGTCGAGAGTGATTAGACAAGTTTCATATAGCACAAAAAGGCTCTATTACTCAACGAGAGGATGAGAAAACATTGATTTGATGGCCACCAAAGTTGATTGAGAAATAGCTTTCTCTAAATCAAAATACATAGCTACCCCCTTTAAGATATGAGCGTTTGATGGTGGGAGTGAATTGGTACTCTCAATGGGAAAATGCCAGGCAAAAGTTTTCCAGATTTTTGAAAAAAAATTCACAAAGCTACGTGTACTTAAGATGTGTTAACAAAAACGGCCCTTCGTGGCTTGTGCAAAAGACAACAAACACGTCTTCATTTTACTTCTGGCTGCTGAGGTTTTCACTTCAATCAAAATAGGAAATTGTTGCTAGTGGGGCGTGAGAGAGATTGACGTGCCACTTAGCTTTACCTTTTCGTTTTTTCACGTCTCCTTGCTGTTCCTTTTGCAGTTCCACCAAAGTCGCACGCTTGTTCTTCTTGGCAACTACAGATAATGATTAAGCCGGCTTTGCAACGGCATCACATCACTAAAGAAGCAATTTCATATCTTGGGCTCAGTTCAAAAGTCTTTGAATTGACTGAGCTAACTTTTTTGAAAGTGCTCGTCGTTGTAACGAGCAAACAACCTCCTTTTTTTTAACAAGGGCACTAGCTTAGCCTTGTTTCACTAATTTATAAAAAGAACAAATATCAACATTTTTAGCTACCTGAAGTTTTTGCAAGTCTTAGTCAGCTAAGATAGACATCATACACAAAACTGCATGTACCATAATGGAACTGCAGTAATATCAGTTCCGTTATGGCACCGTGTAGTAATGTTTTTGGCAACGATGATGGCGTCGAGAGGAACTCTGGTCGCGGCTCAGGCTTCGGTAGTCGGATCTTCCCGACGTGTCCGAGGTGCTCTTTGGGGCACGGTCGGCGCAAGTCCTGCATATTTCCCTTGTGATGATCGTCGTCAGAGTCGGAGCTGTCGGCTGTTCGCGCGTGTGGCCTTCTGTTGGCATGTGCCGTCATGGTTTCTGTGCAGCTGTTTGCAGGTTGGCTTCGACGATGAAGGTCTACGGTGAAGTCGGAGTCGCCCGTTCGGAGGTAGCCGGTGATGACCATGACGCTTGCGACTGCTCGGCGGATGTCTTTCCCTCTTTGTAGCTCTGTGATCCCATGTCGGTGGCCAGGTTGACCGATGGTACCCATTTTATGTGGGCTGGATTGTATCGGTTTTAGCCCGGTTTTCCGTTAATTAACCGGGCAATTCTCACTCCTCCTTAATTAATGAAAATGGCAAGTCTTTTGCCTCGTTTCAAAAAATAAAATAAAATATTTTTGCATACAGAATAATCTAGTAATATCGATAAGATGCCACTGACACTGGGCATCTGCAATGCAGCAATATTAAAAACTAGTCAAAACATCGAGGATGTTAAAAAAAGAGCTACGATGATCCACGGCATGCAGCAAAGCTGACCATCCCTTGAAAACATGTGGACTGTGAGAATGGTTCTCCAAAAAGCAAGGTGAATAAGGGGCAAGCTTCGTCGTTATTAAACCCAACCACTTAGGGCCAGATCATGGGTTTTCAACTTGAAGATCAAGTTCGATCCTACTCCAAACAATGTCTTCAACAATGGACCAATGCGAAAACATCGGGATTAATTTGACCAAGGACGCCAGAATGGCTCCCCCGCTCCCCCG